CACTGCACTCCAGTCTGGGTGACAGAGTGAGACTCCAACACACACACAAAAAAAGAATTGACGACAGGCAAGCTGGGATAATGTCTCTTTGGGTCACCATTTTTTATACACAGCACATAGCACACAGCAGACACTCAATAAAAGGTTGTTAAACATTGAATAGATAAATGGGTGAAGATGCCATGCTCCTCAGGTTGTGAAAGGTTCCCAGAACCCTTCTAATATTTTACTTAAGGCTTATTTCTCCTATTCCATAAACTCTATACCACCTTTACCCAAGGCTTCCTGTTCCCAGTTTCTTCCAGCAGGTGAGAAACAGCACAGTATGGAACGATGTCTAATTCAAAATGTAGGCCACCTTCCCTCAAAAAAACAAAGCTTAATGGAGAGCACAAGAAAGTATAACATAAAAGTTAGTTACTATTAGAACATAAAAAGCAAAATTTACTTTTCTCAAATTTGGCAAATCATTCTTGTAGGTTACTTTCATATACCATGAAAAAACCATATAGGTGCATTTCTGGGTTTCTTTATCGGTGAAACAAGAGTATGACTACATATTTTTTGTTCCTTTCTTTTCATTTAGAAAAATCCCCTCCATTCACTTAGAAAATGTATTTTTACATTTTCCTCCCTATATTCCTACATATTACAGGCCTCCCTAGGCACTCTCCCTCATCTGTGGCCCACACTAACTGTATCATTTGTTATGCAACGATATTTTTTCACAGCATTTTGCCAAAAAATTCTAAAAATATTACCTATAGAATTTTTAAAGATTATTAGCCTATTATAATACCATTTGTTTTGTTTCTAAAATGTACAGAAAGTAAATGTTCAATATAGAAGGCACACATACTTTGTTCTTTGAATATTCAAAACCCCAGTAACACATATAAATGACAGTTCACTCACTTATCATTCATGCAACAGACACTAAGCAACTACTGCAAGCTACATAGTGTGTTGGGTACTATGGGGAATGCTCACAAGGAACCTACACTCCATTTATAGGAGAAAAAGTAGGAAGACATACACAGTGTATTAAATATGTGTTGTATGTATCATGTTAGTAAGTATGTTGAGTAAGAGTAAGAATAATAGCAAATATATATTGAACATTTACCATGGGTTGGAAACTCCCATAATATTTCATCTATATCCTACTATAAGATTGTTATATTACAGATCAAGAAACTAAATTTTTTAGCAAGATTAAGTAACTTGACCAAGGTAACGCAGCTGGAGAGAAAACCAACATTCAGACCTAGTCTACAGGACTTCTTTGCCTAACGAAACTATAAGTCTTCCCTTTCTGATAAAAGATTCCCTGCCCTGGATAATCTTGTCTTATAAGTACTGGTTCTAGTTCTGTACTGTTGGGGTCAAAGGGTGCAGGTTGTCAACTTTGCATATGGTAGATTAGAGATATATCATAGACATATTGGACGGCAACATGTCAAATAAGGTATGTGGCAAGATTCCTCACAATAACCTTATGAAGGAATGGAGAAATAATCCTGAATGTAGAGCCAATTCCATGGATTACTACACAAGTGCCTAAAGATCATAGTATCAGAAGCTTAACCTGGAATGAGGTATCAACACACATATCATAGAATGCTGCTCAATTTTTTATCAACAGCACATGTATCTATTTTTTTTTTCATTGGAGTCTCACTCTCACCCAGGCTGGAGGCAGTGGCTGCTCCCCGCCACCGCAGTCCCAACCTGCTAAGCTCAGGCAATCCTTCTGCCGCAGCCTTCCAAGTAGCTGGAACGATAGGCACGCACCACCATGCCCAGCTAATTTTTGATTTATTGTAGAATTAAAGGCATGAGTCACCCGAGACCAGCACATGTATCTAATCATCAGATATACAGATAACACAAAGTTAGGAAAAATAATAATCAAGGCCGGGTGTGGTAACTCACGCCTACAATCACAGCACTTTGGGAGGCCGAGGTGAGAGGATTGCCTGAGCCAACAGGTTTGAGACCAGCCTGGGCAATTTGGTGAGACCTCACCTCTACAGTAAATCAAAAAATTAGCTGGGTGTGGTGGCACATGCCTGTAGCTCCAGCTACTTGGAAGGCTGAGGTGGAAGGATCACCTGAGCTCAGCAGGTCAAGGCTGCAGTGGCCATGAGCGTGCCACTGCACTCCAGCCTGGGTGACAGAGTGAGACTCCAACTCAAAAAAAAAAAAAAAAAATTGGACTAATTAATTTCACATAGATAGAAAGTAGAATAGTGGTTACCAGGAGATGAGGAGGAAGGAATCAGAAGTAACTTTTAATAGATCTAACAGGTATAGGGTTTGTTTTTAGATAGTGGGGATGGTTGTACAACACTGTGAGTATATGAATAGCCACCACATTGTACACCCTAAAATGGTGAAGTTTATGTTATGTGACTTATACCCCAACAAAAGTGAAAAAAAAAAAAAGGAAAACCTAGCCAATCAAAATTAAGTAGTCATGGCTGGGCATGGTGGCCCACAGCTATAATCCTAGCACTTTGGGAAGCTCAGGTGGGGAGGATTGCTTGAGCCCAAGAGTTCAAGACTAGCCTGGGCAACACAGTGAGACCTCATCTCTACCAAAAAATCAAAAAATAAGCTGGGCGTGGCGGCACGTGTCTGTAGTCTCAGTTACTTGGCAGGCTGAGGCCAAAAGGAGTTGGAGCCCAGGAGTTGGAGGTTGTGGTGAGCTATGATCATGCCGTTGTACTCTAGCCTGGACAAAAGAGTAAGACCCCCAAATAGAAAAGTTAAGTAAGCACTTTTCTTTCAAGAGTATTCATATCCTTAATAAGCTAATGTCAACCAATTGTAAGTCCAGATTTATCTTGTACTATCTAAATTTAGTCCTAGTTTATACTTGCTCTCTCTGTTTCATCACTGAGGTGGAAAGATCACCTGAGCCCAGCAGGATGATGAGGCTGCAGTGTTCGTGAGTGTGCCACTGCACTCCAGCCTGGGCAACAGTGAGACTCCCACTCAAACAAAATAAATAAATAAAAATTAATTAATCAATTAAAAAAATAAAAGCAAGTGCAACATAGGACATAACATAGACTTGAGGGGGCTCTTCATAGACAATAATCATAATGAATCAATAGTGCAGCATGACCACCAAAAAGTTATTAGTCTTTTATTATTATTATTATTATTATTACAAAAAATACTTGCATATTCAGCCCCTGTAAAGTCACAAAATGTTTGAGAAAACTTTTTTTTTTTTTTGAGTCAGAGTCTCACTCTGTCGCCCAGACTGGAGTGCAGTGGCACGCTCCTGGCCACCGCAGACTTGACCTAATGGGCTTCCGCGATCCTTCCGCCTCAGCCTCCAAGTAGCTGGAACTACAGGCATGCGCTACCACGCCCGGCTGATTTTTGATTTATTCTGGAGATGAGGTCTCGCCAAGTTGCCCAGGCAGGTCTCGAGCCCACGGGCTCAGGCAATCCACTCACCTCAGCCTCCCAAGGCGTGGGATTACAGGCTGAGCCACTGAGCCCGGCTTGAAAAACTTTTTAATACGAACTGAAGTTTTAAGAACTTAGCTATCAATGAGTCAAGTCCTACTCATTTAATCGTGTTCTCCAAGTAACAGAAAGTGTAAAATGAAAGTAAAGTCCCTTAGAGATTAGAAATCCTGCTGCAGCACGATCCTGTCAGCCTTCTTTATTCAAGAAGTTAGCAGTCATTTGCAGAATTCACCCTCAAGTCAATTTCTTAATTTAGATACAGCAAACACACAAAGAAAAAAATACATGCCGAGCCAGAAGATCTAACCAGTAGGAATGTTTTGGAAGCCCGTTTGCTCCGGACCAAGGTGGCACATTGAGGTTCTGTTGTCTCCCAGGCTCGCTCACACCTTGCAGCTCCCAGAGACCATCCAGACCACTGACAGTCTCCACGCCCAGGTCCATCTCGCCCCTGCAACCACACTGCAACCCTAGTACCCCTATCATAATCTTAGTTTTAAAAACTAATATTGTATGCAGAATGAGAATTTCTTTCACATATATATGTATATGCATATTGTGTGTGTGTGTGTGTGTGTGTGTGTGTGTGTGTGTTTTAATAGAGACAGGGTCTCACTATGTTGCCCAGGATGGTATCGAACTCTTGGGCTCAAGTGATCCTCCCACCTCGGCCTCCAAAGGTGGGATTACATGCGTGGGGCACCATGTCCAGCTTCAGAACGAGAATTTCAATATTTCCATCTACTGACCATACTGTAGCTAAAATATCATGCTGAATTGTGAGAGAGAATGATGGAGTGAAAATAGCACAGCTCTGCAGACAATCTCGAAATCATATCATGGTTCCAGCAGTAGCTCTGTGACTGTGGGTAAACCACCGAAACTCTCTGAATCTCAGCTTCCTCAACTATAATATAGAATAGATTATAACTACATGGTAGAACTGCTACCACAAATGGACTCAAAACATCTGCAAAAGGCCCAACAAGCACATAGGAAGAGCTAGAGTAGGAGTCAGCTGCCATAGCTACTGTCTTTATCACTAGTTTCTGACGCTCTCTGTAACAGTGTTTTCAAAAGTGTCAGGAAAAAATTAGCAAAATGCACCACAAACATCTTCCTTACCTGTCTGCTACACCTCCTGGCTGTACATCCTTCACAAAGATATCCACTTCTCCCAGATGCTGACCTCGCAGGGCCACAACACTGAATCCCAGACCTCCGGTAGAAGGTCGTTCTATATCTATATACTCAATCGGCCGGCCCTAATAAAGAGGGATGAACAAGAGGTCAGTGATGTACATTTGACCGACAGAACTGAAACTGCTTAGCAAAAAAGCAGCTTTGCCCGAGTTGTCTCTATAGAACCATACACACTCAGCATTTCAGTAATAAATTATTTCTGGAAATCCTCTCACTTGACTACTTTCAGACCTTCGGGGGGAGTGTGTACAGTATTTTGCAGCAACAGGGAACCGGAGGCATTTTCACTTGGCCACATTATGAGATGAATCCCAAGTCGGATGAAAACTCTGCAGAAAAATGCCCTTTCCCACAGCAAATTCTAAATTGCTTTTTACCTGAATTTCCCTAAATTCTCTTGATGCAAAATATATTGTTAAGTGAGGAAAGTAAATTAGTTGTATCAAAAATATGCTAGTAATTAGCCTAAGTCAGAACTAGCTGCATTTTGTAGAGCTCTGTTTTTAATTCTATCGTGATGGATTAATATTGCATTTATTGGGTCAATTCAAAAGACTGTGAAAAGGCTGCTATTCAGATGGGTTCTACCTGTAATGGTCAGATATTTTATTGCATTAATTAATAACTGCATTTTTAATATAAGAACTTCATAGATGTAATCAACTAACAAAAGCATCACATAGAAATAACTGTTAGTCAAGCAAAAGGGATAAAACTATAAAGTCGAAAAGGAACTAGGTCCAAAACATTATCTAACCATCACACCTCAAACAGATTCTTTTTAACTTTCAAACTCAAGTTTTATTTATGTTAAAGGCATTTATTAAACGATGAAGCAAACAAACACAAAACTAACATCCAAAAATTCAACTATCATTTTTTATTTAATTCTATTTTATTTTTTAATTTAAAGACAGGGTCTTATTGGTCTTGTTCTGCAACCCAGGGTGGACTGCAGTGGTATGATCATAACTCACTGTAACCTCAAATTCCTGAGCTCAAGAGATCCTCCTGCCTCAGCCTCCCAAGTAGCTAGGACTACAAGCACATGACACAGCACTCAGCTAATTTTTAATTTTTTTGTAGAGACAGAATCTATGTTGCCTTTACTGGTCTTGAACATCTGGCCTCATGCAATCCTCCCACCTCCACCTCCCAAAATTCAGATATTACAGGAATGAGACACCATACACAGTCTATTATTGAATTTTTAGTATGTATTAGGGGCTCCAACTGGATCACCCTTCCAAATGGTTTTCTAGATTTTCTACATTATATTAGTTCTAACTTCCATTATTTCTGTTTCAACATAAAATTTTAAAGTTTCAATCGTGTTTTGTCACTTCTGGCAGACATATTAATTTTCCTCCACAGCCCGGGCAACACAGTGAGACCCTGTCTCTACAAAAAAAATTTAAAAATTAGCTGGGCATGGTGGTGTGTGCCTATAGTCCCAGTTACTCAGGAAGCTAAGGTAAGGATCGCTTATGCCCAGGAGGTTGAGGTTGCAGTGAGCAGCAATCATGCCACAGCATTCTAGCTCAAGCAACAGAGCAAGGCCTACTCAAAATTCTCCTGTGATCAAAACCAGTAAGAATCTCTTTCCAGCCGGGCTCAGTGGCTCAGCCTGTAATACCGCGCCTTTGGAGGCTGAGGTGAGTGGATTGCCTGAGCCCGCAGGTTCGAGACCCACCTGGACAGCGAGACCTCATCTCTACATAAATCAAAAAATCAGCCAGGCGTGGTAGCG